TTCAGTGTTCAGCTAGAGTCTTCATTTCTTCTCTAAGGGCTTGTTCAATCAGGATCATTGCAGGCAAAATCAAGTCGGAAACCCAGCCTTCACTGGTGGCCTCTCTCCATGGGTATGGCAATATAGGTGCTGATGAATGAGGCATATCCAGGGTGCAGCCATGCCGTTTCCGTCACACATCACGGCGATCGCATGCGGTTGCAGCACTGCCACTTTGGTAAATTGCCTCAGGTCCAGCGTAGCAGATCACATGTCTGCTTCTGAACTCATCTCGGAGAACATGACCACAGATTGAATAGGATCGCGTTGCCGCCACAGGTCTTAGTATATATGGGCAGTAGAATATTGAAAACTATGCAAAGCGTCACTGGCGGTGATGAATTCGGCGCATACTAAATACAGGCCTGTGGACTTCCAATTTGAAATTGAATTTCTCAGAACTGAATGGACTTCTCTTCTCACCACACACAATGAAATCCCAAGGCAAATATCTGGGTTTGCCTGCTCGCTTAGTAGATCTACGATGGGATGTGGACTGGTACAGCTGACAGCATACTGATTTGACCAGAAATAGCAGAAATCACTCAATATTTCACAGACTAACTCCAGTAGGCTATATTTTGCACTCACTGCCTGACGCCGAAAGAGAGAGAAAAACTAATCACCACAATAGCTAGAACTGCTGTTGACATCGTCATCGTCAGAGTAGTCAGAGTTGGAGATGAAGTTGAAATACGTCTTCGCTTGGCAATTTTTTTGCCAATAAATTTGAACAGCGTCGTCAACGTCAGGGATATTTTCAGCGGATGGATGGATATCGAGAGCTTCTGGCAGTCATATAGGCTGCTTCGGACAACCAAGACGACGGACAGTACTCATTCCACCCGATCTTGGTGACAGGCGACGACGTGAGACGTCTCCAATAGACTTTCCAAACACAATTGTTTGAATTCTTCACAAATTATCGAATTATTGATTTGCGCATGCGCACTGTGTCCATGATGACGTAATATGTGCGTATTGGTATGGCATGAGTCAGCAGTGGTATTTCTGGAGATCTGACGAGCACAGAAAATTTGAACAAAATCCACAAGGATTTACCGTGAAAAGACTGATTTCTACGTTTTCCCCCAAAAAGTTGCAATTGTGCGAGTCAAAGATATGTTACATTCGGTCTTTGCAAGCTCATAGCAGCCATATGGATAAAGCAATCTCACTCAAATTTTCAGAGATGATGTCTGGGATCTATACGAGCAATTTGACACCGCATTGGACGAAATTAGAGCAAGTTGAAAATTTCACAAAATTTTGACCCCTGAAGGTAGATCGCCACCTTAAGCGAAAGTTTGTTTTATCAGTGTTCTTCTTAAAGGGGAAGTTAAGGCAAAAATTAAAATTTCACCAGTTGTAGTCTTCGGGGTGCTGAGTCGAATGGTCTTGGTCCGAGGAAGCTGAGACGCTCCCTTCCTACTTGAATCCCAATCGAACTCGCGCACTTCCACCGAAACTGGGTGACTGCGCCCTACGAGATGGGGATCTGTATGCAAAATGTCACTAAAAGCGCCATTTCGTTCTTATAAAAGCACGGATGACCGTGATTGGCCCATATGTTGTAGTCTTTGGGACGCTGAGTCGACTGGTTTTGGTCCGAAAAGGCTGCGATGCGGCGTTCCTCCTTTATTCCCAATCGAACATGGTTGAAGAAGCGGTCACGTGCTCCTGCGTACACCAGTCACCTGGTCACCGTGCCTGCAGGGTACAACTTACTAGCCTGTTTGACCTTTTTTGGGTGCAGTCCTGTCACTCGAGTTGAACCCGAGTTGAACCTTGGTGTGAAAGTTGTCACCTGCTGGCGTGGTGACCAGGTGATTTGGGCACCCAGGACCACGTGACCGCTTGTTCAACCATGTTCGATTGGGAATAAAGGAGGAACGCTGCATCGCAGCCTTTTCGGACCAAAACCAGTCGACTCAGCGTCCCAAAGACTACAACATATGGGCCAATCGCGGTCATCCGTGCTTTTATAAGAACGAAATGGCGCTTTTAGTGACATTTTGCATACAAATCCCCATCTCGTAGGGCGCAGTCACCCAGTTTCGGTGGAAGTGCGCGAGTTCGATTGGGATTCAAGTAGGAAGGGAGCGTCTCAGCTTCCTCGGACCAAGACCATTCGACTCAGCACCCCGAAGACTACAACTGGTGAAATTTTAATTTTTGCCTTAACTTCCCCTTTAACGAGGTTTCACTGTATAGTGAATGTTCAGACCAGTATAAAGACTAGTAGTGTACCCTGGAGAGCATACTATCGCATATACAGTGAAACCTCGTTAAGAAGAACACTGATAAGACAAACTTTCGCTTAAGAAGAACTAGAATTCCAAGCGCTACTGGATTCATCACTGTTTATGACCTGGGTAAGACATAATTATTATGGATAAGAAGAACTCCCGTTATTGCGAACAAATACTGTCGGTCCCTTGGTGTTCGTCCTAAAGAGGTTCGACTGTACATGTACGTGTATGCAATTGTTAGATTGACACTGCATGAAACAAGGTGGAGGACACTGTGTTCGAAAACAGTGACCTTACTACAACCTTCCGCGGTTGGCAGTGTCCTCCTCCTTGTTTCATGCTGTCAATCTAACAATTGCGTTAACTACAACAAGGTTTATCTAATACTGGTTGTTTACCAGGTTTGGATTATATCATGTACATGTACATGTACGTGTATGTAGCACTCAGTAGTCCACCAGCTCTCTATATAAATGTATGTGTGCACTCCTCTATACGTCATCACCTGTTTACTTCGTGCCTATGTGGCTTCGCTGCGACCCTCTCTAGTCTAGGCTATAATTATAACTCAACGCCATTATAACTCCAGACGCGACTTTCCTATAATATATCTCCACTCAAGTTGAGACTTTCTCTGTACGACTCCAACTCGGATTGCCAACTTCTCCATACAAAACCTGAGTAGTAGTCATACAGAAAAAGTCTCAACCCGAGTGGAGATATAATAGGGAAAGTCGCGTCTGAGTTATAATAGAGAATGACCTGGAGTTCTAATTATAGAGAAAGTCGCAGTGAAGCCATATAATTATACAATGTTCGCACTAAGTAAACAGGTGATGACATATCTCTTAGCCTGTTACCAGGAAACCCTAAATACATGTAATAGGGTTTGGCATAACGCTACACATAAGAACCCTGTACATAGGGTTATGAGCAGAGAATCCGGGAAGTGGAACACTCCAGCTTTGTTCCCGCCGTTTTCTGCACTACGGGAGGCATGGGGAAATCTGCCACCTCTCTGTACAAGAGGATAGCGTCCCTCATCGCCGACAAGACCGGAGAGGCCTACAGTGCCGTGATGGCTTCGATCCGGTGTCAGATCAGCTTTGCCTTGGTCCGATCCAGTGTGATGTGCCTGAGGGGTGCTAGGCGGCTCTATGCACTGGTCTTTGCCGCGGACCCAGCTGCTCTTGCTTGTTGTTGCCGAGGCGGCTATCCCCTGTTGAGGTTGATTGCCGTGCTCATTTATACCATGTTCGGAAGGACATATTGGATCGCTTGTCATTTTCGTATTTGGTGCACTATTTTTATGCATTTCACGAGTGTGATATACCAGACGTGGGCCATCCCCTGATTTCATAGGTGCCAAACATTTTACGCTTTTAATTCACTATCGTGCATTTTGTCTACATTTTTTTATTCTTTCCTTCAGTTTTGTATTGTAAAATAAATCGTTTGATATGTTCATACAATATAGGGTTAGGACCCCTAAAGAAAGGGTTAGATCAGTCCTCACAACTGGGCACACAATACACACAGTTTCACTTGGGTTTTTTTGATATTTTCACTGCATTGATGTTAGCAGGAGCGCTCCTGCGAAGTGCGCGAGTGTCGCCGCAGTCCCCCAATTTTAGAACTGATAAGATGCACACATTCGGGCTTCGGTTTTTATACTGGTATGTAATTGCAATAAATCCTTCGGCTCTACATTTATTATAATTATACATGTACGTAAATTTGACCCCAGACATTCAGTACTGCCGCTATAGTACAGATGGCATGGCATGGCCCTAGTATATTATAGCAATAAAAACTGCTTTATGGCAGCTTTCTAAAAAAAGTTATTGTGTTCTAGTCCTGGGTCCGGCCTAGGCTATAGAAAATTTATATAATTGCTTCCAAACTGCCTTGGACTCCGTCTAAAAAGTAAGAAATTAACGAAATGTGATTGCCGAAAATTAAAATTTCACACAAAACCTCACAATAATCACACACAGGATGAAAAGCTAGAAGACCTTTTCCCCTCGTGATCCTCTTTCCCATGCATGCATGTTGGTGCAGTACAAGTACCGGTACAAGTACAGTGTCAGACTAAACAAGTGTTGAAAGCAGTATTTGATTGTCAAGTGTTGTGATTATTGTGAGGTTTTGTGTGAAAATTTAATTTTCGGCAATCACATTTCGTTAATTTCTTACTTTTTAGACGGAGTCCAAGGCAGTTTGGAAGCAATTATATAAATTTTCTATAGCCTAGGCCGGACCCAGGACTAGAACACAATAACTTTTTTTAGAAAAGAATTGGTGAGCACACATGCTCATTCCCTGGGCACTGCAAATTCACAACTCATTTCATTTCACATAATCATTTTCAACGTTTCGGCAAATTGCCATCATCAGGATACAATATGAAGTGGAAGTCTGCCAAGGAGCAGTTATATACATTTTGTGTTCTTAGGTGTTGATAATATTTTTTTATGACTACATATGTTACCTCAGTGCTAGAAATATGACATGTCTAAAACTAGTGAAAGATCATAAGTTTTCACTGACTCATATGCTGGGTGTTGGTAATAAGTTAGCACAGCGCAGATGTCACCAGATAACTTGAGAAATGTCTGACAGGTTTCTCGCAAGCAATTCACGAATGTGACCATGTCAGTGGTTTCCAGTAAATACTGTCACCTAGATAGACAGTGTGGTGTGATTGTTTTAGAGTAATGACCATCCAGTACTGGTGTTGATCTCTGGGCCTTCGTTTCTGATCTCCACTGCCTCTCGCAATTTGCGGTTTGCCCTGTCACTGGCTCTTGCAACCACAGACACTGCCGAGAAGATGCTGTCCCCGACACCTAGGTTGATCCCTGCATGCTTAGCTCGCATGTGGTCACCCCATGGCTTATCCACAGTGCGCCTACGAGCCTCACCGTTGTGTTCCTCCAGTCTTGTCTCCAGTGTGCGACCCGTCTCTCCAATGTATTTTTCCCTGCACAACTTGCATTGCAGCCGGTATATCACATTCTTCTTCAAACATATTTTCACTCCACCCGACTTACAAGTCAGACACGGCCCCAATGGGCGTCCTCTTCTCTTTGTCTTTCTGATGTTGGGCTCCTTAATGCAGCTGGGCGGACTTTGTGCTGAGTGACAGAGCTGACGTTTGAGGCTACCCGCATGCTCGTAAACCACCCGGACTGGTAACTTGTGCTTCCGGATAGCTTTGCTGACGCTGTGATGCACCCTGTCCGACTTATACGGCAGCTTCAGAAACGCACAACACGGATTACCTCGGCGGCGACGCTTGGGTTTCCTTGCTGCTTCTCGGGCATTGATGATGAGGCTCTCTGGATAGTGGTTGAGTTGAAGTTGGTCTTGAATTTTCTGTTCACTTTCTTTACACATGGTGTCATTGGAAGACAGACGTTGTGCTCTTAAGAATTGAGACTTGGCAACGGCAAGTTTGATGTGATGAGGTACAGCAGATGCGTAGTCTATCAGCAATCCACTATTGCATGGCTTTTGGAAGAGCTTGTACGTCATCTGGCCCGACTGTTGTATGGCAATCGTCACGTCCATGTAATCAATCCAGCCTTTGCTACTGCTGAGCTCGTAGGTGAACTTGAGTCGGTCGTGTCCTGCATTGAAGTGCTGTATTAGCTCCAAGAGGCGTTCCTCACCGTGGGTCCAGAGAATGATCACATCATCAATGTACCGTTTGTACAGCACAGGCAGAACCGGTGAATCGGCAAGAAGGCGCGTTTCCAGAGAGTGCATGAACAATATTGCGAATGGTGGTGCTAGATTATTGCCCATTGCAACTCCCTCTAGCTGGTGGTAAATGTAGTCATAAAAAAATATTATCAACACCTAAGAACACAAATTAGTGTATATAACTGCTCCTTGGCAGACTTCCACTTCATATTGTATCCTGATGATGGCAATTTGCCGAAACGTTGAAAATGATTATGTGAAATGAAATGAGTTGTGAATTTGCAGTGCCCAGGGAATGAGCATGTGTGCTCACCAATTCTCTTCGAGTTATGAAGCTGCAGGATGCCTCACCGCTACTTCGTTTTTTTAGAAAGCTGCCATAAAGCAGTTTTTATTGCTATAATTTCTTTTGTTTTTTCTGTCACCAATCAATGGAATGCATTGATGTGCAAGCCTTTCTTGCAGAAAATGGCACTAGCGTAATGCATGTTCTTCTGCTGGGGAAACATGTGGTTAGTGGTGGTGATACTTTTTTTATACGCAGGTCATTCTGTGCATGTTGCTGTTGCAGAATTTCATGACTGTCATAAAATTGTCTTGCCTTTCAGATATTTCAGATTTCCCCACCCTCGATCAGATTTACTTGAGAATTGTAGCCAGGTGCGTGTCGCAGATGTTTTTGTTGATTCTGTGTTTATAATTGTTTATAATCATGGGTTATCGTGATAAGGTCATCCTGCATCATATTGCACTGAAATCGTAATCCTGTTGATGTCGATACAACTTTTGGAAATAGTTCAATGACTTCAAACTGTTAGTCCACGATTTTCTAAAACAACACAGCAAAGGAGGAACAATAAACATGTATTAAAATGTAAACAAATACATTGTTGAGTCCGGCACCTCGTTCCAATAACTACACTGATCCTGGGGATAAAAGGGGCAAGGCCATTGGAGGTTGGAAGTCATTATTATCAAATTGTCAAATTTTTGATAGGGCAATCCCCGCAGGCCTAAGGCCTTCTTACAGGGTACCCTGGAGGTACTGAGAGATAAACAAGGCACTCCATAATAATAAAATGTTACACATCTTTTGCCATGAGTAGGAATGATATCCAGTCCAACCTCTTTAGGACGAACACCAAGGGACCGATGGTATTTATTCTGTGAGTTTGTCTTAACCTATTTTATAACCAGTGAATGCATTTCTCCAATAGACATACGAATAGATTTCTTCTACAGCGAAAGATTCGAAGCCACACCGACTCGTCTCGTATGAAACAAATTAGTCACTGAACCTTTCTTTAGCAACATGGCGGTAACTGAAACAGCAACAAAGAAAGTACGATACATGTACAGCACATTCTTGCAGGTACATGTACTACAGTACAAACAGATTGCAGATCGTAATTTTTGCTTTGGCGGCACGCAACTTTATTTGGGGCAGTGCAATGTCGGCGGTACTCACAAATCAAACAGCCCAGACTCGAGTAAACAAATCCAATCATACAAGTACGAGATTTTCACGAGACGAGACTGCACCCATTGGCTTGTTTCGTATGAAGCAAACAAGTCACTAAACCTCTCCATAATGGAGATTTTCCCTGATATGCGAATTTATTTTGCATTCTCGGTCAATGGGTCCTTGAACCTTTCCCTCCAGATTGGGAACTGCGAACGATAGTATACCACTGACCAGTGCCTTACTTGTAAATTACCAATGTACAATGAACATGAGTATTTCGACAACACATCTAAGCCTCAGCAGCAACATAAGCCTTACCGTCAAGAAGGTGAACTCGCGTTCTTCGCACACTGTAGGCAAGGGCAAAGAGATAAAAATGGATCTAAATCCGAATAAAATCAGCACACGTTTCCGTAAATGAAAAGGTGAGCACAAGTAAATGAATCGAAGGAAACTTGTCAACTCAGAGATCACCTGTCATTGAGTATTCCGTAAAAGGAGGCATCGGCAGCGGAAAAGCTAAATTGAGAAAGGAGATCCTGTCAGCTTTTCCATTATTTATTGCATTCCGCCCAAAATCAGTACATTTTTCGTAAATGAAAGAGTCAACACAAGCAAATGAATCAAAGGGAACTTGTCAACTCACCTGTCATTGAGTAATATTCCGCGAACGCAGGTCTCAGCAGCGCCAAAACGAAATAAGCCAGGCCAGGAGACGAAATATCCGAAACAGCTCATGCAAGAAGCAGTTCCAAAGAAGGAAATTCGTCGTGCATGCACAACCGAAAAGGCAACAACAAAAAGTCTGCAATGCACACGCATGCGGCCAGCCGGCCGCGCGATGGTAGGAGCCATGGATCTGGAGTAGCTCCCTGGTCCAGGACCAGGTACCGAGCATCTTACGTAGAAACTTACGTAGCTACGTAGACAACGTGTCTGAATAGCGGTGTCGTTAGATAGCGCCATGTGAACACAATAATAGAAAAGCTGACAGGATCGCTTTTCTAAATACATGTACGTTTCACTGAACCTTCATCACATTACACATATCTCCAATAGACTCCAAGGACAGACTAATCTGTCGTGTACCCGAGCATTCCTGGCTGTTACAGCACAGGAACACAATAAGTCATGCTGGTTGGTCGTTTGGGTGTTCCAGCGGTTGTAAATACATGTACATGTACCGGGTATTTGAATTCGCAAACGGAACAGACTGCATTCATCAACCAAATAGAACAAACAAAAATCAACTGACAAAAATGACGAAGAGTGCAGTGGTACAGTACAATGAGTTGAGAAGGACGAGGAGTTCAGGAGTTCGCTAACACACCAACGTTTTGGTGGGAACCACCATCTTAACTACTAATCATGTACTGATGGTGGGTCAAGTGCATTCCATGGAACAGAGAGAGAGGCAGACAACCACACAGACACAGTGATAAATACATAGAGTGAGTGTCACACAGGGAGCCAGAGAGGTGAAGCCGAGAGACAAAAAGAGGGGAACGAGATTGACAGATGGACAGAGACCCAGATACAGACACTGAGAGACTGAAAGACAGACAGACAGACAGACAGACAGACAGACAGACAGACAGACAGACAGACAGACAGACAGACAGACAGACAGACAGACAGACAGACAGACAGACAGACAGACAGACAGACAGACAGACAGACAGACAGACAGACAGACAGACAGACAGACAGACAGCTAGAGACACAGACCAACACAGGCACAGACATAGACACAGACTTAGACACAGACTTAGACACAGACTTAGACAGAGAGACAAACACAGAAAGGAGATAGTGAATGACCCTCTCCGTTTCCTCTGTGCCCCCCCCCCCCCCACCATCCCACTAGTAAACAATTGTTACTACAGTACACAGTTCGATCTATTTTTTTAAAAAAATTCACGGTTCGCGTGAGACTCGGCTGGAAGCCGGGTTTTCCGCATCCGTAGGAACACCACCACCCTTCAAGGATCAAGGCGATCTATTTAGAATTAGTTTAAATTTCTTGATCCAGAAGAGGGGTGTTTTGGACAAACTTGTTCGCTTCATCAAAAGAGTGAAGAGTCTTGGTGTTCAACACACTGGAACTCAGCCACGAAAGTAAGCATTAAAGGAAACATCACTTGCACTCACAAACACAAAGAAACGGATTTTAATTCTTTCCTAGATTACTTGAAGGAACTTCAGTCTCTTCATAAGCAACATTTCTGAAAGATTCAACCAGTACATGTACCTGCATCAGCCATTAGTTGTACTTGCAATTAGTTAGTCTTTGTTTTACGTGAATCCATGGCACCTGAAGAAAAGGCAATGAAAGAATCACTAGACACTTTCGTAAATAAGTTACTTGTCCAGTGCATGAAGTCACTTTTAAAGAGCAGTCAGTCGATTCATATTCGGATTGTCCAAGAGAATGGGTATAAGTCACTCATACCCATTCTCTTGGAAAATCAGGATCTGATGGAGACGTAATGATGTGCTAGTGAATTGGAATAAGGCAGTAAAGATTTAGGGTTTCCTGACAAAAGCCATTCGGAGCGGCTTCCAGTGGAGTCCGGCAGATTAGACTAGGCCTCTGTGGATTCTGCCGGCAGAAAAATTGGCAGAATTCGGTACTTTTTCTGGTAAGTTTCATGCATGTTTGGTGTGTGGATAAAGAAATGGAGCAGAATTCGAGGAATTGCCCGCGATAAGGTTTGTATGGTTCTGCCAATTTCACTGCTTTTCGAGCAGAATCTGCCACCTTGTCGAGCATTATCCGCACACCCTTAGATTAGACTCCCACAGCTTGAATTTCCGCTGTCCAGCATGCGGTTAGGCAGTAGATGCATGGGGAAACTTTGACCTTGAGCTTTCTGGCACCGCATATACAGGCCTCTGATAGTGGGTCATTTTGATGTGACAGCATGTTATCCGGGGTTTTGCTTCTCGGCATGGTGGGTGATTAAAGGCAAATTGCGCGGTACCCGGACTACCCAAAATCAGAGCGCAGAGATAGGATTTTCTGACGTGTTGGAAACCTGGCACACACAGTAAAGTAAATAATCTACGAGGACATACTGATACGAGATATTGGTAGCGACTTCAGCCGTGACTCAGTTATAAGAAAGGTGTTCGCTCCCCACACCAGAGCTGACGCTTTTCCGCCGACTAACTTTACACTTGACTGACTACGGACTGCAATCCAGAACACACGAGAAGTCCATCGAGCCTTCCACTCGACAAAACCTGCAAAATGCACCACTCCCAGCTCAATACACTGTGTTTCGGGGAATTCACCCTTCATAAGTTGAGCTTGAGTAGGCTGAGGAAGATTGTGTCTGAAAAGCAACACGTATATACTGCTCTCCAGGCCAAACCATCACCAGGGATACAAACTTACAGAGACGCTCCGCTTCCAGCACGACAAACACCTCGCGAAAACCGGAATGATAGCCGCGCGAGTCAGTGTAGCTCCTGAACGGTGAGAACAGACATCGAGGACCCTCGGTCATTCGCAACCATCATGGACCTAAACATCAGGTAGCTGAATGTCAGTACCACAGCAGTTAGTATTGTGCTAACTGTTGCACGTTAGGACTCCACAATATCAAACTTTTAATAATTGCCAGTGGTGGAC